CCCTTGTCGGATTTGGCAGTGCTCCGTGCTTGTTATTATTAGTTAGTATCCCAGGTTGGTTAATTATTGTATTATGGCAAAATACACCCTCAGCCTCCAAAACATTTCAGCCTAAAATTCAGCAGATTCTTACAAATTTCTATTTCTCGTTGAACAAAACCTTTCACTTCTAATAAAGGATTTGAGAAAATTTTCACTCTCTCTTTCAGTAAACAATCAAAATTAAAACATTTCTCTCCTCTCTTATTTTTCCGTCTACATGAACAAATTCCTATATAAACAGCCACTTTTCTGTCCATCAACGTTCATTCTACAAACGAGCATTTACTGAAGAAGATATTCGAAACGCGTATAAATTCTCTTGAGTACATTTTCCAATTTCTGTTTTTTATTAAACTCTCTCGTCGTCTTTATACAGAATATAAGATGCACCTAGGGCAGACTTCCAGTGGAATTTAATCTTCGACGTTTCATATACCGTTCGACAGAGAATTTCACGGTGATCACGAATATCACTTCCCAGGCTCTCAAAACCCTTTTCCCGCTGTGGTATTTACAAAACAGTGAGAGTGTCTAAAAAAGCCCAGAATCGCATGGTATTTGTAAAATGGCGGCAGCTTTTTTGCACTTTAGTTTTATTGCTCGGCACACAGCTTTTTGGATTAAGCATCAAAAACTGAGTCTGGACAGCTAGCTTTCAAAGCTCCAGACCAATAACTGGAGTTTTAGACGGGTCCTTCCGAAAAGACCTATTCGTAATTACGCAATAATACGGTCATGGTTATTGCATCACGATATGGTAATGGTTATTGCATCTCAATACTCAAGATGATTGCGCAATATTGCGTCGTTATACAAATTGTCGTTTGTCTCTTTCACTGAAAATGACTCACTCTCTTTCATTCTCTTCGGCTGTGGTAATGTTGCATTCATTTTCGCCCTTTCAGTTTTGGTCACGTGTTTCCAGTTTCTAGTAATGTCGTTCTCGGTATCGGCGTTAGCGGTAATGTCGTTCGCGGTCGTGGCATTCGCGGTAATGTCGTTCGCGGTAGTGACATTCGCGGTAATGTTGTTAG